CATCATTAGCCTTTGGGAGTTGAACCTGGGGACCCCAGAGCCACAGCCAAAAGGTAAGGGGATCATAGAAATCTCTGGTCCTCAAGTCACCGTTTAATTCCCCCTCTTCCCTGTATTTACTATTTTTATAATAACAAATTGGTTTTCCAACATCCTCTGGGGTGAGTGATAATCTGCATATATTCCCTTCCCACAGAGGCTGTTGCTTTCACTTTGCCTTTCCTTGTTAGAGTCAAAGACATTCACCGTGGAGGACGCCGTGGAGACCATTGGATTCAGACGTTTCCACGTTGCCCTCTTTCTGATCATGGGCAGCATGGGGGTGAGTGCTTGGAGATCCTCTGAGTCTCCCAAGCTAATTCATCGTCGGACGTGTAGAGTCTTCCACTTCCCTCCAGCTTGGGGTTGTCCGCTCAGGGAGGGATGTGAGAGGGAGCGGGAACCCTGTGGGGTAGATAATTCCCAAATAATTTTCTTCCACCTTTGGCAGTTGTTTGGTTATGAGCAAATGAATATCTGTGTTCTATCTTCTGGGAATTCAATACCCTTTTTTTTTTTGCTAGCTATAGAACTTTTATTTCTCCTGTAGTTTCTGTTGGGTCTGACATTTAATCTTTTTTTTTTTTTTTAATGGACGTGTAGTTGATTTACAATGTTGTATAAGTTTCAGGTATACAACAAAGTGATTCGGTTTTATATATATTATGTATACATATGTGTGTGTGTATATACATATATATATATATGAATATATATACTCTTTTTCAGATTCTTTTCCATTATAGGTTATTACAAGATATTGAATGTAGTTCCCTGTGCTAACAGTGGGTCCTTGTTGTTTATCTATTTATTTATTTATTTATTAGTTTAGTTTATTCATTTTGGGCTGCGTTGGGTCTTCATTAGTGTGCGCGGGCTTTCTCTAGTTGCAGTGAGTGGGGGCTACTCTTTGTTGTGGTACATGGGCTTCTTATCGCGGTGACTTCTCTTGTTGTGGAGCACAGGCTCTAGGTGCATGGGCTCAGTAGTTGTGGCTTGCGGGCTCTAGAGCGCAGGCTCAGTAGTTGTGGCGCACAGGCTTAGTTGCTCCATGGCATGTGGGATCTTCCCGGACCAGGGCTCGAACCCATGTCCCCTGCATCGGCAGGCGGACTCTCAACCACTGCGCCACCAGGGAAGCCCTGCCTTTATTCTTTTAGCTCTGTTTCCTTCTTTAAAATTGCACTTGTTCCATTTTTAAGTTTTCCTAATACTTTTAGAAGAGAGAGAGGGTATAAATAAAAATAACTAAAGACCTTATTAGGGCTTGTACCAATAGTTAAGTGACTCATGGTGTTTTGTTTTCTTTTACGTATAAAATATGTACAGTTTACAGCTTCCCTGGTGGCGCCGTGGTTGAGAGTCCGCCTGCCGATGCAGGGGACACGGGTTCGTGCCCCGGTCTGGGAGGATCCCACATGCCGCGGAGCAGCTGGGCCCGTGAGCCATGGCCGCTGAGCCTGCGCGTCCAGAGCCTGTGCTCCGCAGCGAGAGAGGCCATAGCAGTAAGAGGCCCGCGTACCGCAAAAAAAAAAAAAAAAAGTACAGTTTTGAAAGCATGCCTTGTCCATCCTTGTAGCTTTAGGGTCACTGCTGTAACGTTTTGTGCAGTTATCAGTGTACCACAGCTGGTTTGTAGGTCTGCGCGTCTTCATTCCTGAGAATGTTGGTGGTCCAGGTGTGGTGTTTGCATCTGTAACTGTCATGAAACTATACTTTATGGTACCATTTCTATATTCACAGCTCACATCTCGTTGGTTGCTTTTATGTTGTTCCTACTGGTGCCTAAAGAGGCTTCTCAATGTCAGCAGTAACGTGGCTTCCCTTGTTAGGTGGGGCACAGCTCACAAGTCTTTTCTCTAGGTAATTCAACTCACCCAAGATGTGACTGCTCCCTGCTCCAAGTTCCTTGCCTCCTCCTGTCATTTAGTCTCTGTCATCCTGGCTATGAGTCCCATCTGTCCCCTGGGCTCACTGACCACAACCTTACTAACAGGAAGGCCTCAGACTGGTTTAGCAAAGAGGCAGCATTTTCACCATCTCCCAGGCTTCCCATCCCCCAACTTCATCTCCACTTTCTGGACGGTCTGGCCATGAAGACTTAAGGCCTTAAGGATTGTGAGTGAATTATGTCCCTCACATTTTTTGTGAATAAGAGAGTTAGTGCTGGAGAAACAAAACTGTAGAAAGGAGCAGGCCCTCCAAGGTAGGGGAGGGGGAGGGGAGAGGAGAGAGAGAGAGAGAGAGAGAGATTAATCCCCGTCTCTATGTGGTCCCCAGGATTAGACTTCACAAGCTTTGGGGTTCACATAGGCTTGGAGTTAAGGTTTATTCTCTAGACAGGCTTAATAGTAAAGAACTCAGCCTTAGGAAAGTCACTTTTTTACACTGAATGGGAAGAAAGCAAGGAGTAAAAATCTGTCACTTATGCGGGAGAACAGAGTAAAATTTGAATTTAATTTTAGTTGACTCTTTACTTTTTTTTGTTGTTGCTGTTAAAGATTTTTTTTTTGATGTGGACCATTTTTAAAGTCTTTATTGAATTTGTTACAATATTGCTTCTGTTTTATGTTTTGGTTTTTTGGCCACGAGGCACATGGGATCTTAGCTTCCCGACCAGGGATCGAACACGCACCCCCTGCATTAGAAGGCAAAGTCTTAACCACTGGACCGCCAGGGAAGTCCCTGTTTCTTTTACTTTTATTAATCAGATAATTCACTTTAATACAGTGTTATTAACACAGCATCTCAATAAAGTTTTTTGTTTTTTTTTTTTTGCGGTACGCGGGCCTCTCACTGTCGTGGCCTCTCCCGTTGCAGAGCACAGGCTCTGGACGCGCAGGCTCAGAGGCCATGGCTCACGGGCCCAGCCGCTCCGCGGTATGTGGGATCTTCCCGGACCGGGGCACGAACCCATGTCCCCTGCATCGGCAGGCGGACTCTCAACTACTGTGCTACCAGGGAAGCCCTCAATAAAGTATTTTAAGTCCTAAGAACTAATTTCTTCCCTGCCACAGGCAGTTTGTCTATCATTTCCTATTATTCAAGTTGATTAAAAAAAAAAAGTTCACCTTTCCCTTCTTGGAGGGAGTTTGATAATTGCAGGTTCCACAATAGAAACTGCTTATATCAGGAGACCCAAAGTTTGGAGATTCACCAACTGATATGACTTCTCAAAAAAATGGTGTGGCTGACATAAGGTTAAGATTAAAAAAATATATATTTGACAAGGAAGGCCATCAGAAGAAGAGGAAAAGGGAGCAGAACATGTGACCCCAAAATATGCCCCTTTGGCATGTGAATTATTTTGAGCTGAAGGCAATCAAGACCCAGCCGACTCAAGAAAAACTTTTACATTTCCCTTAACTACCTAAAAGAATTTAGATGGGGGGCCTGGCTCAGAGAGAGAGAGTTATTGCCAGAGATGACTTTCATCTGAATGACCTATCTGTGTGGCAGGGCAAACATCTAATTACCAAACATCTGCTCTTCTTATTGTCCTGTGAATTACCACCCCCCGCCTTTGAAGCCCCAGGTACCCTCCTATTCCTCAGCTCAAGGTGGCACATAAGCCTCTACTGTCCAACTTGCCCTTCGGTCTTATATTTTTATGGGACTCCTGTACATACAAACTTAAACTTGCTTTTCTCCTGTCAATCTGTCATAAATCAATTTAATTATTAGACCAGCCAAAGAATGTAGAAGGGTAGGAGGAAAATTTAAACTTCCAACCAAGAGAAAGAGGCAGAAAATCTTGCCATCAACTACCATCATCTTTCAAAAAATAAAAATAATAAGGGCATGTTAATACCAACAATCAGAAAGAAAATTCTTCCAGAATAAAGAGCACCCTTCATAATGAATAAATTTGGATTTATGCAAAATGTGTCCCATTGTCCTTATTTTTATCATTTTGCTGAGGACTGACTGGATTTCATTACGGTGCGGCATCTATCCCAGGCTGGGCATTGAAAATATTGGCTTTTCCTTCCTTCAACTCTGTCCTAGAGAGAACAGTGCACAGAGGAAACGTATGGCTTTTGTTGTTCGAGTATAAATATGATTTATTTTTTTATAGTTCCCTGTAGAAGAAATGCTTTTGAGTCTTCCTTATGAAGAGTCAGGGGGAAAAAGAAAAGGCAAAGCAGGCAGCAGAGAGAAAGAGCTTTTTCACTGAAAAAGTGTTAGAAATGCCAGCTAACACCTTTCCTTTGATTACCCTGGAAGCAATCAGTCAGGGATCTTACTAGAAAGGAGAGTTAAGTAAAGCTTGGAACTGCTGGAGGCAGAAAAATAAGTCACCTAAAGGCTTACGCGTAAGAGTACAGCTCAGGCTGAGTTACATCGCTGGTATCACACCCAAGTTCTTGAATTTTATCAAGGAAAAGCTATTGTGAGAAAAAGTAAGGAAAAAAAGTAGGTTTATATTAGTGATGAAGAATGTTTCTAAATGGATGACTGGTTTTGGTGTTTGTTGAAAGTTAGGTTTCCCTGTAATAACCTGAAGGAAGACTGCTTCTAGACGTCTCAACTTGAATAAGACAGAGCATGCCTGAATAGACTTTTTGAGTCTTCTTATTAAAATGGAAATTCACAATTGTACATCTGAGTAGAATGAGGCCAGTGCTGTCATCTTGGATCAGAGGCAAAGCAGTTACCTGCTTCTAGGACTCCTGTTTCTACCTGGTGTCAGTGACTTCAGGTGTGGGAATCGTCAACCTCTGAAGCCCTGAACATGTTGTACAGGAGTCAGGGGAGAGCTTTGTGAAAGCCTGTTCTTCAACTTCCAATCCTCCCACGTTTCCCGTCTTCTTTTAGTTCAGGTGGGTGAATGCTTAAGGTAGTAATTAGCATATTATGAAAACGCTGCTTAGAGGATAATTTCTTTTCACCCCACCTCCAGATGGTGTTTTTTGGCTACATGGTATTCAGCATCCTCTTTGGCCTCTTGGCTGACAGATATGGCCGCTGGAAGGTAGGTTGGCTTTGAAGGATGATTTAGAATTTTCTTTTGTGTGTTCTTTTGTGGTGACATCACCACTGCTTTTCTTTTGTGGACATTTCTCTGTCAATACCCAAGTTAGAAAGTACGGAAACATCCTTCTCTGACACCACATGCCTGAATTCCAGGCTTGTCTTCCTGCTTTCTCATCCTTCCCCGAGATACCTGTCCCCATACCTGGTCCCCATAGTCCAGGTGTACAGCTGACGGATGAGCCTAGTTAGAACATAACAGGTAGAATGTGAGAATTGCATGTATAAACATAAGCAGTTTCACATTAGTTAACTCGGGGGTAGCTTTGAAACTAACCCACTTACTTGATGTCACACATGTATTGAGATTCCACATCAAGACATAAAACTATGTCTTCTGATGATAAACCCAGGTCTCTCTTCTCTTCTTGTCTGATTTCTGGTGGTAAAGACCTCTCTGGTGTAAATACAAAGGGAGAAGTCCCCCACAAAACAGTAATAGGCTTGGATGTATGTTTTGAAGTGCACAAAATATCATAGATTCTTACAAATTAATATGAAACCACAAGTATCTCAAAAAAATGTGGAGAGCACAAAAAAGGCATTTTACAAAAAGAGACATACAGATGGTCAAGAAACCTTGAAAAACATTCAATCACAGGAGTTATTAGAAGCAAAATTACATAGCAAGATATCATTTTTTTCCCTGTTATCAAAGCCATATCAAACACCAAATCCGTAAGGAATTTTTACTTTTCTTAAAGAAATCTGCAAGTGTCTAGACACCCTCACATACAATTGATGTAATTTTTCTGACCATCAATTTGGTAGCATAAGTCAAGAACCTTGAGAATATCCATTCTCCTTATCTGATAATCTGTCTTCCAGAAATCTAGACCGTTTAGGTCATCAGAGAACCACAAAGATTTATGCCCAGACGTTGTCACAGCTGATTTTAATAGAAAATGTGAAACCACTTCAACATTCAACCAGAGGGGAAAGGTTTATGTGTTACATTACATGGATTATAGTATGTCTTTTCACTGGAATATTTTGCAGCTATTAATATTATGTTTTCCCTTATAATCAGTGAAAATAGGATAAAACTGTGTTAATAGTATTTTCTCTGGGTTGGAGAATCAAAAGTGATTTAAATATTTTTATATCTTTTTCTTTTTTCCATATTTTCTACTATAAACTTGTATTGTCCTTATGATTAGAGAAAAAGCAAATCCTTACATTTTCTCCTTATACTCATTCCAGCACAGTGCTTCGTTGTGCTCCCAACATCCCTGTAAGCAGGGAGGACGAGTTTCTGCATTCTGATTTACAAGTTCAGGTTCCTGCCACCTGTGAGGGCGGAGGCTGTGGGGAGTTTTGAAGAATGGTCTAAACTCGGGATGTCTGGGCTTTCAGACAATAAAATGATATGAATTGTATTGTCTGATGATTGTGAGTGATCGGTAAGCTCGCTAAAAATTAGCTCCACAGAGAAGCAAACATCTGGAGGAAACTAAAAGTCACCTTCAGAAGTTAGGTTTGCTTCCTGACCTTCCATGGGGGCAGGTCCCATTAATGTCTCCTTTTGTTGCTTCAGATTTTGCTCGTCTCGTTCCTGTGGGGAGCCTACTTCTCCTTGCTGACCTCATTCTCTCCCTCGTACATCTGGTTTGTCTTCCTGCGGACGATGGTGGGCTGCGGCGTGTCTGGCCATGCCCAAGGGTAAAGACATCACCTAGAGGACCCCAGAGGGAGATATGTGAACACCCAGAGACACATCCAGTTAGTCTGTGAACCACATTCACTGTGGTTAATAGACTAAGAGCATCAGTAAGTTTCAAATCTGTACACTTCACTTGTGCTAATCATTTTTGAGTCCCCCCCTCCCCCAGTGATGACTGCTTATACCACTAGGAGCTCTTTGCCCGTCAAAACGATGTTTGATGGTGAGGCTAGCAGGGTGCTAGCTTGAGCATGTGTTAATTTCTTTGTTCCTAAGGCTGATCAGCATTTTTTAGATAAATAATATTTTGTTAGACTAAATGCTAACAAAAAGTGCCGTATGAGGTAGGTAACAAAAATGTCAACCCAGACACAATCCATTAATTTATTGAGAATTTCTGGAAGACTTTAGTTGGACCATCAGCACCTGTAACGTTCAGGAATAACTTTTAACGTGCCACGGCCCTGTAACTGAAGACTGTGTCAAAGTGAATTTGCAGAGCAGGTGAGACAGATTGAAACAGCTATGCTGCCGCTAGTCTTTTTTCTGCCCTGGGATAGGTGTGTAATACCTCATCATTCAGGGACGTGAGAGTTGTAATGCTAAGTGTTCAGCAACTTGGGAGCCTCCCTTAAATGAACAAGGCTCCTCAAGCTATTTTCTCCTGGGTGCCTTGGAGCAAGTTGCCCTTAGAATATATTAGGAGATGTCAAAGCACCTAATTATTACCCTAATGTGTTAGGGAAAGAATCGTTCTTCTCTGGGGGCATAAGTTAAGCATCCCTCTGTGCTCTGGAGCCCTAAAGGCGGAGAAGTTAAGTACAATTTGAAAACATCCCTGAGGAAGCAGCTCAATAAATATGTTAAAACTCCAAACCCTGGTTAATAACTGCAACAGATAAGAACAATTAGACAACAGATGAGATAGAAGTCCATTTGTTCTCCTATTCAGAAAATTAATATGTACTTAATTAGAAACCTGTGCTTTGACTGTCATCATTAGTTGGAGAAACTATTTGCTTTCTCTTGGGCGTATTTTAATTTCCCACATATGTTTTAGAAAAGGGAATCAGGCTTGGCAAAATATTTTGACAGTGTTTCTCTTGGTGAAAGAAATGAGGCTAATATCTCTTACATGGTTGAAGGTTTAAAATAACTTTGGGAATAAAAATGTAAACAGAAGAGCACTTAGAAGTTTATTTTATATTGTTTTCTTACATGGGTTAATAATTGTATTTTGGTGTATGATCATACAGGGAAAAATCTCTCTTCTGTTTTTCTTTACACACTCAATAATTCTGCCAATACTTCACTTCTGACACCAAACGTGTGGATTTCTTTACACGCCAACCAATTCTCCAACACCTGCTGGGTGTCCTATAATTCCATTCAATTCTGACCCTCGCTGGAGTTTGCGTAGACCCCGCAGGTTTAGGGCTCAGTCCCACAAGACTGTCCTCCACTTCAGACACCAATCACCAGTAGTAGGTCCCCAGGTTACCCACAACTTCTGTCTGACTTGCTACAAATTGGAAGTTCCCACAAACTCCTCAGGTTCAATAATTTGCTAGAGTGTCTCAGAGAATCCAGGAAAAGTTTACTATTTGCAGATCTGTTACAAAGGATATTTTAAAGGAAACAGATAAATAACCAGCTGAGGAGAAATACACAGGGCAAGGTCTGGAAAGATCCTAAGAACAGGAGCATCTGTCCCCGTGGAGTTTGCGGTGCACCGCCTCCCAGCACATAGCTATGTTCACCAACCTGGAAGCTCTCCGAACCCTGTATGTTAGGAATTTTTATGGAGGCTTCATCACATAGGCATGATTGATTATTAACTCATTTTCCAGCCCCTCTCTTCTCTCCAGAGGAGTGGAGGTTAGGGCTGAAAGTTCCAAGATTCTAATCATGGCTTGGTTTTTCTAGACCAGCCCCCATCCAGGACTCATCAAGAGTCTCTGCATTAGAACAAATGATGCTCCTATCACCCAGGAAATCCCAAGGTTTCCAGGTTAGCAGGAACCAGGGACAGAGACCAACACACCTATTTCTTATCATTTTACAATGATGAATATTTATGTTTTTGAATTCTTTATCCTTGTGACAAGAAAAATTATGATTTCTTAAAAAAAGTTATTTGGTTTTATAAAAGCATGATTGTATTTTTTCCCCCTTCCTGTTTAGGCTAATCATAAAGACTGAAGTTTTGCCTACAAAATATCGAGGCTATATGCTCCCCTTGTCTCAGGTAAGGTAAAATGGGAATTCTTCTGATCAGTCTTCTGATCCTGTAGGATATGGTGTACATGGTGTTTCTTCTGGTTGGTTGATTGTTCTTTGATTAGCATACTCCTATTACTTGGTACCAACCAAAGAGCATTAGGGATGCTTGACACCAGAAGTCCAATTCCAAGGTTTTCTCAGCCAGGATGTATATCATCCAGCAGCAGCATCTAGAACACAGTAACCCCTTCCTCAGGAAACATTCTGCTGGCTGGTTTCACTAGAATGACAGAAGCTCAGGAATGCATCTGGGATGAACATTCTCTCCCCACTGGGTCTTCAGTGGAGGGATACAGCTACCACCCCTTTTAGAGTCTCCCTTGTGGATACTCGGGTGTGCAATTCCATAACTGGCTCATGCCTCTGGGAACTTCTGTAATTGTCTCCTCCCAGCTGAGCCATTTATCCAGGTGAGAAGGTGGGGATGCGCCCCCACCCTCCTCAGACCCCTGCTGGCTACTGACTAGAGGTTTTGCATCCAGAAGCAATCTAGGTGCCCTTGTACCATCTTTGACGTCATCGTTATCCAAAAGCCCTGACTTTCAGAGCCCAGGAAAGTGATGACACTTCCCACTGAAGCGTTGTATGTTGGGCAATAAATAAGGCAGTAGGAGAACATTTTAAATTTTATGTTTAATTTTTCTGACACTAAATTTAGGCAACAAAAAAAATTAGACCCTAATAAATACTGAACGCTAACTCTTTACGTTCTTCCCAGCTTTCTTCTTCTGATCTTTGTTAAGATGAACACCCATGCTTTCAACAGTTAGGGGTTCGATTTTACACTTAACGGTATTTAATGGGCATAATCCTGTTCAAGCTCATCTGTGCACATTGTCTCTTCCACCTGCTACTCATTCTTTATCATCTTTCCTGGTTATGTCTTCTCCTTGTGGTCTTATTTTCCAGGTCTCCTGGGGTCATCTACTGATAATTGAGGAGTCCAGTGGTTTTAGCTATCTATGTACCTATTACCTCCCCCGAATTTATCTACAACCAAGAGCATCTCCTTGAACTTCAGACCCAGGTGGCCAGTTACCTGATAGCCACTTGAATATCCTGCAGGCTCCTCAAAGACAACATTCATAGACCTGATCCCTTCATCTTCGTCTGGAGCCTCTTCGGTCCATGTCTCCACTGTCATTTCATAGCAAGCTCTGTCCCCTCAGTTTTCTGAGCCACACATTCAAGAGCTGTCCTGGACCCCTCCCTTTCCGTCATCACCATTCAATCAATCACCAAGCCCTACTGACTCACCCCCTATTAGTGGACCTACAACTGCCGTGTCCATCAGCAAATCCTGTTGCCTTTACCTCCACAATGTGTGCCAAATCTATCAGATAAATTTTTTTTTTTTTTTTTGCCATGTCACTACTAAAATTCTTTTCAGCGCCACATCACCTCTTACCTGATCTACTGCAGTGGCTTATTACTGGCCTTCTTACACGTTGCCTCTTCAGAAACATCATCTCTGATCATTAAAAGTCACTCTCCATCACATTACTTTCTTTGTTTCATAGCCTAATCACTTTCTGAAATATTCTTTTTTTTTTTTAAATAGAATTCTTTGGTGATGAAATAGTCACCCCTTAATTAGCCTCCCAAAGGGTCTTTTTATTTTTAACATCTTTATTGGAGTATAATTGCTTTACAATGGTGTGTTATTTCTGCTTTATAACAAAGTGAATCAGTTATACATATACATATATCCCCATATCTCCTCCCTCTTGCGTCTCCCTTCCTCCCACCCTCCCTATCCCACCCCTCTAGGTGGTCACAAAGCACGAGCTGATCTCCCTGTGCTATGTGGCTGCTTCCCACTAGCTATCTATTTTACGTTTGGTAGTGTATATATGTCCATGCCACTCTCTCACTTTGTCACAGCTTACCCTTCCCCCTTCCCATATCCTCAAGTCCATTCTCTAGTAAGTCTGTGTCTTTATTCCCATCTCGCCCCTAGGTTCTTCAGGACTTTTTTTTGTTTTTCCTTAGATTCCATATATATATGTTAGCATACAGTATTTGTTTTTCCCTTTCTGACTGACTTTACTCTGTATGACAGACTCTAGGTCCATCCACCTCACTACAAATAACTCAATTTCGTTTCTTTTTATGGCTGAGTAATATTCCATTGTACATAGTGTCACTTCTTTATGCGTTCATCTGTTGATAGACACTTAGGTTGTTTCCATCTCCGGGCTATTGTAAATAGAGCTGCAATGAACATTTTGGTACATGACTCCTTTTGAATTATGGTTTTCTCAGGGTATATGCCCAGTAGTGGGATTGCTGGGTCATATGGTAGTTCTGTTTTTAGTTTTTTAAGGAACCTCCATACTGTTCTCCATAGTGGCTGTATCAACTTACATTCCCACCAACAGTGCAAGAGGGTTCCCTTTTCTCCACACCCTCTCCAGCATTTATTGTTTGTAGATTTTTTGATGATGGCCATTCTGACCAGTGTAAGATGATACCTCATTGTAGTTTTGATTTGCATTTCTCTAATGATTAGTGATGTTGAGCATTCTTTCATGTGTTTGTTGGCAATCTGTATATCTTCTTTGGAGAAATGTCTATTTAGGTCTTCCACCCATTTTTGGGTTGGGTTGTTTGTGTTTTTGATACTGAGCTGCATGAGCTGCTTGTAAATTTTGGAGATTAATCCTTTGTCAGTTGCTTCATTTGCAAATATTTTCTCCCATTCTGAGGGTTGTCTTTTGGTCTTGTTTCTGGTTTCCTTTGCTGTGCAAAAGCTTTGAAGTTTCATTAGGTCCCATTTGTTTATTTTTGTTTTTATTTCCATTTCTCTAGGAGGTGGGTCAAAAAGGATCTTGCTGTGACTTATGTCATAGAGTGTTCTGCCTATGTTTTCCTCTAAGAGTTTGATAGTGTCTGGCCTTACATTTAGGTCTTTAATCCATTTTGAGTTTATTTTTGTGTATGGTGTTAGGGAGTGTTCTAATTTAATACTTTTTTTTTTTTTTTTTTGTGGTACGCAGGCCTCTCACTATTGTGGCCTCTCCCGTTGCAGAGCACAGGCTCTGGACGCGCAGGCTCAGCAGCCATGGCTCACAGGCCCAGCCGCTCCACGGCATGTGAGGTCTTCCTGGACCGGGGCACGAACCCATGTCCCCTGCACCGGCAGGCGGACTCTCAACCACTCTGCCACCAGGGAAGCCCTAATTTCATACTTTTACATGTAGCTGTCCAGTTTTCCCAGCACCACTTATTGAAGAGGCTGTCTTTTCTCCACTGTATATTCTTGCCTCCTTTATCAAAGATAAGTTCAAAGGGTCTTTTTTAATATTCTCTTCTCTCCATCTCTGTGAGGTGGAATGGAGTTATCATCTACTTGTCATCTTCTGATGGGAAAATAATGCTCAGAATAACACTCAGAATTGTTCTAGTTCCAAACTCATGGGGCCTGGTCATAGGTGGCTCTCATGTTATTTGTTGATATAAAATGATCTCAAGATAAATTTTTCAGTACAAAAAAGCAGTGTTGAGAAATATTTTTACTATGTTACCATTTGTGAACAAAGAACAGATATCCTTATTAGCTTGTGTATGTTTCAAGCAGCTTTGGAAGGATATAAGAAACTGGTGATATTGGTTTCTTCAGAGGAGAGGAACTGGACGGCAGGGAACTAGGAGTAGAGGCGGGTCTGTTCACAGTGCTCTCCTTTGTACCTTGAGTTACGAACCAGGGAATGTATTATTTATTCAAGAGAAGAAAGTCAATGTCTTGGGTCCCAGATTTGTAAAACTTTGGTGACATTGCTGACCCTGTCTTGCTGAGTCTTCCACTTATAGACAAGCAAACAGAGTCGTGGAGAAGTGAAGTAGCTTCCCCGGTTCATCCAGGTCCTGGAGGCGGTGCTGCTCCTTAACTAAAGCCTCTCTTCCGTCTCACCTTCTTTCGTTCTTTCTTTCTTTTCTTTTTCTTTTTGGGGGCGCAGCTTGTGGGATCTTAGTTCCCCGACCAGGGATTGAACCTGCACCCTTGGCAGTGAGAGCACAGAGTCCTAACCACTGGACCGCCAGGGAAGTCCTCCCATCTCACCCACTTACAGTTACAATGCAGAAGAGGGTGGCTCCTGGAGGGGGCTGTGCAGCATCAACAGGAGGACTTTAACCTTCCCTCTGCCCCAGGTTTTCTGGCGAGCCGGCTCCCTGCTCATCATCGCCTGGCTTCCGTGGTCATCCCCACCATCGGGTGGCGCTGGCTCATCTGCATTGCCTCCATCCCTGGCATCATCCTCATCATGGCCTTCATGGTAACCAAGCTCATGGGCTCCCTCTTGGCCTCCCCCTCCAGCTGGCCCAGCGGCCTTGTCGCCCCACAGTTATCTTTCTCATGTCCACCTCTCTCCTTATTTAAGTATGTGTCTCAGTTGGCTCACTGTGGAAAGGGTGTTTTGGCAGAGTTAATGCACAAGCCCAGTCACGAAGGTGTGAATGCAGAATATGTTTGGGGGAGAGCAGGCAGGCTGGAATGGCTGGAATGTGGGGCGCTGGTGGGAGGCCGGCTGGAAAGACAGGCCTGTGTGCAGATTACAAAGGGCCTTGAGGACCAGGGGCACTGGGGGTTTGGAAGGGGTTATGTACTGGGAAGCTGGTACATGGCGGTGTGGAGGCCGTAGGAGGGAAGACAGAAAAGGTCAGAAAAGCAGTTAGAAATGATCAGATTAATCCCAGTGGGTGATGAGGATGACCTGAACTGCCCCCTGGCTAGGGAATGGTGAAGAGGATGCTGCTGGGGAAGATGCTTTGCTGAGGAAGAACCCACTGGCCTTCATTGCGTGGAGGTACCAATGTCCCAGCATCAGTGGAGGGCTGTGCTGTTTTCTGAGTGTGGTGTTCAAAATATGCCGTAATCAGTGGGTTGTAGGCCTCTACAGTCAGGATGGTTCCTCCACTCGTGGGTGCTGGAGGCCCTGCCATGGTCACCCTTTAGGTTCTTGCACTGTGTGAGGTCCTGGGATTCCTGGGGGAGTGGCCGGGTGATGGAGGAGTGGAGAGGCGCCAGGGACCCCGGGCAGCGGCTGTTTACACACTGGATGGAAGAATTTCATTGTGTTAAGTAGGTTGGGTCAAACTGGGGTGAAGCTCCGTATCAGTCCACTGTCGTCCGACATGGGACAGCGATAAGGAGAAGGAAACTCTGTTCCACTAGAGTTGCAAGAGTGCAGCTGCTATATTTTTGCTGTAAAGCTTGCTACATCCTTTCCCATCTCGGGGAACTGGGACAGTGTAGTGTATGGAACCGTGATAGTGGTACCTCTGGGGTCCACAGCAGTTGCAACTCTGGTGTTCTTTGTCATCTGTGCCCAGTTTATTCCTGAATCTGCTTGGTTCAGTGTCTCTACCAGGAACACTCAGGCTGCCCTGGTTACACTGGAGCGCATCGCCAAGATGAACCGCTCAGTCATGCCGGAGGGGAAGCTCGTGGAGCCCATCCTGGTGAGTTCTTCTCCTCCAACCAGGGGTCGCCAGAAATCCCCTTAGTGGTGGAAGGCTAGAGGGAAGGGCAACCGATCCCTCCAGTGCGGAAAAGAGCGGAGGGAACTGATACTAAATCCAGCTCCACCGTGAGCCAGGTAGCGCTGTTACCTACTACCACTTTTTAAAAAAAAATTTATCGAAGTACAGTTGACTTACAATGTTGTGCTTAATTTGTGCTGTACAGCACAGTGACTCTGTTATCCATGTATATATATATTCTTTTTCATAATTCTTTTCCATTATGGTTTATCACAGGATATTGAATATAGTTCCGTGTGCTATACTGTAGGACCTTGTTGTTTATCCATCCTGTATATAATAGTTTGCATCTGCTAATCCCATACTCCCACTCCTTCCCTCCCCCTGCCCCGTCCCCCGTGCTTGGCAACCACAAGTCTGTTCTCTATATTTGTGAGTTTGTTTTTCTTCATAGATAAGTTCATTTGTGTCATATTTTAGATTCCACATATAAGTGATATCATATGATATATGTCTTTCTCTGTCTGACTTACTTCACTTAGTATGATAAGCTCTAGGCCCATCCATGTTGCTGCAAATGGCATTATTTCATTCTTTTTTATGGCCGAGTAGTATTCCATTGTGTATAGGTACCACATCTTCTTTATCCATTCATCTGTTGATGGACATTTAGGTTGTTTCCATGTCTTGGCTATTGTAAATAGAGCTGCAATGAACACTGGGGTGCATGTATCTTTCTGAATTATAGTTTTGTCTAGATATATGCCCAGGAGTGGGGTTGTTGGATTATATGGCAACTCTATTTTTAGTTTTTTGAGGAACCTCCAAACTATTCTCCTTAGTGGCTGCATCAATTTACATTCCCATCAACAGTGTATGAGGGTTCCCTTTCCTCCACACCCTCTCCAGCATTTACTATTTGTAGACTTTTTAATGATGGCCATTCTGACTGCCTACCATCACTTTTCTCATCAATGAAATGGAAATAATAACACCTTGCAGAGCTAGTCACGTGATTTAGCCCCACTGTTTATAGGGGAGAGATTGTTTTATAATTTTATGTTCCTTGTATTGGCCTTGTCTTATTGATATCAAACATATAAACCTTATTAAATTATTTTTTAAAATAAAATTTGGCATTTAAATTCTGTTGCTTCCAGGACTGTCAAGGTCAATGTGCAATCATTTCTCACACCAGCCCAGACCACCCACTTCACCCATCTGCAGGCAGGTCAGTCACAGGCTCCTGGAAGAGCTTTCCAGCACTGTCCTGCGATCTCCAAGACAGTTTATGTGAGATAGGAATTAACCTCTTGGAATGTTTGGTAAAACTTTTCTGTAAAGTAGTTTATCCCTAATATTTATTTTAAGGTGAGTGGTAACAGAATAATTGGGGGTATCAGAAAGAGGAGTTCTAAAACTATCATTCAGTTTGTGTAAATGTTAATGCCTACTTAGTTTAATACTCTTGATTGAGTCAACTTTGGTAATATATATTTTAGAAAATTGCCCAGTTCATCTGGGTTTTCCAATTTATTGGTATAAAATTATTCCCAGTGTTCCCTTTTGTTTCAAATATCTACTGTGTATGTCTTCTTTTTCACTTTTAGTATTGTTTATTTGTGCCTTCTTTTTTCTGTGGTCCTCTTAGTAGAGGTTTGTCTTTTATTAAACTTCAAAGAATGAGGGCTTTTTTGTTTCTGTTGTTTTTCTCTTTATTGGTTGTTTTGGTGGTCTCATTAATTTCTGCCCCTTATTTTGTTTACTTCTTTGGCTTTTTATGTTCGTCTAGCTTCTTGAGTTCAGTATTTAGCTCATTTATTTTCAGTCTTTTTGATTTTTAATAAACCATTTAGTTGCATTCAGCAAGTTCTGTTACAGAGTAATTTTATTTCTATTTTGTAACTGCTATGAGTTTCTCTTTAACCAATGACTTATTTGTTAATGATTTTTTAGTTCTTTGTTTCTAATTTAATTGCATTTTGACCAGAGCATGTTATCAATTATTTGGAATTTATTGAGACTTCTTTTGTTCTCTACATAGTGACTTTTTGTTAATATTCCATGTGTGCTTAAGAAGAACATGTGTTCTCATTGAGCATATATATTGTTATATTCAATATAATTATGCCGTGTAAATATCTGATACCTGTTCTAGACTTTGCCAGGTTCAGCTAACAGTTTTTCAATAAGACGGTGGTTTTGTTAGTTTCTCCTTATAGGCCTGACAGTTTACTCCATATAGTTTGAGGCTATCTTGCTGCATCCTAGCATAAGATTGACTTATTCAGTGTGTGGAGTGATCTGACTACCTGAAATATTTCTTTATAATGCTTTGGGCCTTAAATTTTATTTTCTTTCATACTAATATGTCAGAACTAGTTTGGGTTAATGTTTTCCTGAATAATCCACCCTCTATATATTTGAATCTATTGTTGAATATTATGTTCTAATAGGTTTGTAGATTCAAATATATATGAGATTTATTATATAATAAATAGAGCATTTTATATTTTTGGGAAAAGGATACAGGTTAATTGTTGGTCTAATATAGCACTCTTAATTATAGCATTTTATAATACAATTTTCATATTTAGTAAGGTACTTACCCCTTGTAAAAGTTCTTTTTGAGAATCTTCCAAGCTATTTTCTCGGTGCTATTTTTCTAGAACAACTTTGAAGTGAAGTGGGCGTGAAGATCTCTTTGAGATCCTGTTTTCATTTCCTCTGGATATTTACCCAGAGGTGGGATTGCTGGATCACACAGCAGTTCTGTGTTTAATCTTCTGAGGAATAGCCGTACTGTTTTCCATAGCGGCTGTACCACTTTATGGCAGAGGCTCTTCTTGACCCAGCTCTTGCTCCATGCCTGAGCCAGGTCCAGAGCGGCAATAGCTCTTCCCACCCACCTCCCCAAATCTGACTCTGTCAGGGATTATGTGGCAACAGCAGGACAGGTGGTACCCAAATGTACAATTCTTAAGCGTCCTACCCACAGCGAGAGGCAGGCTTTTCTGGGTGTTTCTGACTGGTTTCCCAGGACATCACCGATGACAAAAACATTGTAATCCCACTGCCACCTGGCCTGCTGCTGGACGTGTTAAGTGTGAGATAGAGTGTGCTCAATAATAATGCAAAAATGAGGATTAAATGTCCCAAACGTCCCCACACTCACAATTGTAGTTTGGTGAAGTATTCTCACTTTGCTTTGTGGAGTGTTTCCCCTAATTATTACACATGCCTCAAAACCTAATTGGGAAATAAGAAACTCAAACTTTTGGGAAGCTCCCTGGCGGTCCAGTGATTAGGATTCTGTGCTTCCACTGCAGGGGGCACGTGTTCAATCCCTGACTGGGAAACTAAGATCCCGTGTGCTCTGTGGTGTGGCCAAAAAAAAAAGAAAGAAACTCAAGCTTTCTTCCAAAGAATTAAGGATGATTCTGTTATTCTAATTTATTTTCTGGAATTTGGAAATAAGCCCTTGTGGTTCAGAGGTCAGGACCCTACTAGTAGGCAGTATCAGATAACCCCCACCTTCCTACCAAGATACTGACAGTTACATCTTATCTTGCAAAGCATGGTGGGAAGACTAATTAGTTGCTAGGCAACAATGATTAAATGAAGGAAGTGATTATGCTTTGAAGAGACTGGCACATAATCTTTAAGTGACTATGAAATTTTGATTGTCAATATATAAAAAATAAACTTGGTTGCAGAGAGAGAAAAAAATCTTAGCAGAGACAATTAACTCAAAACCATGGACAGTTGAATGATCCAATTCCAACCATTTTTGATGTGTATTTTTTACTTTGAACCCAGTAGTTGTTCCAGGACTGAAGAGCACCGAGGTTACTTCTCTCCTCTTTCCTTTTTTCCTCCTCCTTTTCCCTCCCTCTCCACCCTCCTATCCCCCATCCCTGATCCCCCACCTTCCCTCTGCCACTGTGTATTAGTTCACCTGGGCTGCCATAACAAAATAGCACACACTGGGTGGCTTAAACAACAGAGATTAATTTTCTCACAATTCTGGAGGCTAGAAATCCAAGGTCAAGGTGTTACAGAGCTGACTTCTTCTGAGGTCCCTTCCCTTGCCTTTTAGATGTCCATCTTCTCCCTGTGTCTTCACGTCGTCTTCCCTGTGTGTGTGTCTGTGTTTTAATCTCCTCTTTTCATAAGAACGTCAGTCATAATTGGCTTACAGTCCACCCTAATGACCTCACTTTAGCTCAGTTACTTCTCTCTTTTGTCTTTTTTCTGGCTGCACCACGCAGCTTGCAGGATCTTAATCTCCCCGACCAGGGATCCAACCCGGGCCCCGGCAGTGAAAGCGCCAAGTCCTAACCACTGGACCACCAGGGAATTCCCCAGTGACCTCTTTAAAGACTCCATCTCCAAATACAGCCCCACTCTGAGGGTTAGGACTTCAACATATGAATCTGGAGCCACACAATTCTCATAAGAACCGCCCTCCCTCCTCCAGCCTCTCTATATGCTCAGCCGTCCCTCGACATTCTCCTTCCTCCCTCCTCCCTCTCACTGTACATCCTGCCCCTTTCTCCTCCTCCCTTCTTCCTCCCACTTTACTTCTCTTGACTTCAGCTTGCTGCCCCCATCCATCATGCCCATTAGATGATCTTGTTCTTCTCCACGGTGGTCTATAGAGCACGGCCCTGTGGATACAGAGCTATAAACAGGAGACCCTGCCTTCAGGGCTCTTAAATCTGGTTAGAGAGATGAGACGCACGTAGGAAAGAATCAGTCACAAAACAGAGCCCCGATGCTTAGAACCAGGTGAGTGGCCCAGGCAGCAGAGTGTGTAGGATCCGAGCAGAGAGGTGACCGTAAGCTGGTGGGAGCCACCCCCAGAGAGAAGGGGGGCAGTCACTGCGCACTGAAAGGAGAGGCAGCCTCAGGGGAGGAAGAAGGCCACTGATGGCAGGAGGAACAGTGTGAGGCCAAAGGTGGGAATGCGCAGTGAGTTCGGTCCATTGGTGGCCGTCAGAGTGCCATGCAGAGGAGGCTGGGCAAGATGCTGTGGGCAGTGGAGCCTCTGCAGCTTCACTCCCAAGACGCTGAGATGAAAGGCTTTGGGGGCTGTCTGAGGACAGGTCACACCATGCAGGAGGTGAATAAGTCCACCCATTTGGATTGCAGCCAAAGGTTCAGAACCAAATGACTTATTAGGATAAAAGGTATATATTTTATAATGACATGACTCTCCAATGACACTTGGGGCGGTGAGGGGACCACAGTCACATCTAAACCCAGGGGACATGGCAGAGAGGCAGATGGGCAGGACTCAGGACTGGTGCACGGGAAACTGGGAGTCCAGACTGCCTCTGCCTCCAAACGGCTGTGTGATCTTGGGCAGGTCACTTACCCACTCTGGGCCATATATTCTGTGTTGGAAAATGGGAGGATAGGGCTAGATCAGACGTTTTCCAAAGATGAGTAACCAGAGCCCCGATACGTAAAGCAGATGAAAGTGGAGTGTCAGTTGTTCAAGTCCACCCACAATGAAATCCAGGAACTGAGCCTGAAAGTCGAGGGCGGGGGGGGCGGGGGTGTATGGGGCAAAAGACCTCTAAGTTCTCTGCAAGCTCTTTCGGTGACAATAAAATCCAGGACTCCCAGACCACACTTCTGGACTCCCTAGAGGGGGCCTGTAATCCCAGGTCAATTTGTGAGAAAAGAATAGTTGGTTTTCAACTGAGCACCTCCTCCAGCCCCCAGGCATTCCTGGCTTTACATAAAAATCCATTACTGCCCAGTCATCTATAACCCATCCTTATTTATTTTGGTCCAAACATACTTAATAGGCACTGACTATGGACAAGAACTTTTACAAATTACCCTAACGACACACAGAGAAATTAGGCACTGATCCTCTTTTCAGATTCAGGCTGCTTGTTTTTTTGCACAAGCCTCACACTCTTTTTTATTTATTTATTTATTTATTTGAGGTACGCAGGCCTCACTGTTGTGGCCTCTCCCGTTGCGGAGCACAGGCTCCGGACGCGCAGGCTCAGTGGCCATGGCTCACGGGCCCAGCCGCTCCGCGGCATGTAGGATCTTCCCGGACTGGGGCATGAACCCGTGTCCCCTGCATCGGCAGGCGGACTCTCAACCACTGCGCCACCAGGGAAGCCCCTCACACTCTTTTTTAATGTTAGGTTTTTTCATCTTCATGTTAAAAGATTCTCCCATCAGTTTTATAGTTACTTTTCATGTATACTCCTATTTTCTCCACCCCACCTCTCGCCAGCACTGGTGAGAAGAGGAAGAGTGAAAGGGTTAGAATCTTAAATTCATTGAGTTTTGGTACTTGACAATGATAACAAAAAGTATGCAAAGACTGATTGGCTGAGATGAATGTGTTAAAAACAGTATTTATGTGAGGGGTATCCGGGGAGCTGAGTGGCTATCTCACCCTACCACATTCCCATGTTGTTCTTGTTTTCTGTGATCTAAAATATTAGAGTCACCTTTGCCTGTCCTTAACCCACTAAATCTATTCTGTCTCCCCCTTTCACTACCCCAGGAAAAAAGAGGAAGATTTACAGACCTATTGGATGCTAAATATTTATGGACCACATTACAGATCTGGGTCATATGGTAAGAATGGTATTATTTCAAAGCTAGGTTTAAATAAACAAGCATTTCAGTGGGAGAAAGCCCACTGAAGTAAATCCCTTCTGAGTGCTCTGGGGAGAAAACACAAGGCAGACACCAGCAATGCTTTATCTTTCTGCCACCAACCAAAAAATAGATATAAAATAACAATATAAAAAGAAAGAGAAAGAAAAAATATCCAAATCATCTACAAACAGTTTTTAAATTTTTCATCTGAGTGTATGAGCTCTGTACTAACCTTTTGCAGCCTGGTCTCTTCCCTCACCACATTCCAGGAACTGATCCTTTGAGGTCACTGATAATCAAATTCAAAGGAATAGACTCAGTGGTCCTCTCTATGCAGCCATGACCTTGAGTAAGCAAAGATTTTCTAAACAGGACACAAAAAGTGCTAACTCTAAAGGAAAAGATTGATGAGTTTGCCTACATTAAGTTAGGAACTCTGTGTCCTGAGAAATCATGAAGAGCCTGAAAGGTAAGCCACCAACTGAGAGAAGAAATTTCCAATATATATGTCCAACAAACTATATATACATGTTCTGTATATTATTAATATATATTTCTATTATATAATTTTTTTTTCAACAAGAAAAACATACACAACCCAGTAGAGAAATAGGCAAAAGACTTGAACAGGCACTTGACCAAAAATGTGTATCAAATAAACATATGAAAACATGTTCAACCTTAAAGTCACCAGGGAAATGCAAATTAAAACCAAATGAGACACCATTACAAATCCACCCAAATGGCTAAAATTAAAAAGACTGGGGACTTCCCTGGGCGTGCAGTGGTTAAGAATCTGCCTGCCAATGCAGGGGACATGGGTCGTCTCCCTGGTCTGGGAAGATCCCACATTCCGAGGAACAACTAAGCCCGTGCGACACAACTACTGAGCCTGCGCTCTAGAGCCCGCGAGCCACAACTACTGAGCCTGCATGTGACAACTCCTGAAGTCTGCACACCTAGAGCCTGTGTTCTGCAACGAAGAGTAGCCCCCGCTCGCTGCAACTAGGGAAAGCCCGCATGTAGCAATGAAGACCCAACGCAGCCGAAAATAAATTAAAAAAAAAAAAGTTTGAAAAGATAACCTTAAAAAAAATTAAAAATGAAATTAAAAAGACTGACCATGTTGGGAAGGATGTAAAGTAACTGGAATTTTCCTGCGCTCCTGATTGGCATTCAAATTAGCACAAACACTTTGGAAAACTGTTTAGAGGTTTCTATTACAGTTGGAAGTATGCATAGCCTATGGCTCAGCAATTCTACTCCTAGATTTCTACCCAACAGAAATGCATAGTAAAATAAAGTAGCATTATATTATCTGTAACAGCTCCAACTACGAACCACCCACATGCCCATCAACAGGTATAATGGATAGATTCTGTTATATTCATAAAATAGAATACTACACAGTAATAAAAATGAGAAAACTGGTGCTCTGCGCTCAACATGGCTGAACCTCACAAATGTAATAATGAGCAAAGAAAGTCAGACACACAAAATACATATGTGGTTCCATTTATATAAAGATTCAAGACAGTAGAAACTAATCTATAGTGTTTGAATTCAGGAAACAGGTTGTCTATCTGCCTTTCCCAGATATAATCACTAAAAATAGGTTGGCGTCTCCTCTTGAGACTGTTTAATTTTTAAAATGCTCTTAATATTTGGGGAATTCCCCGGTGGACTAGTGGTTAGGACTCAGTGCTTGCACTGCCGTGGCCTGGGTTCAATCCCTGGTTGGGGAACTGAGATCCCGCAAGCTGCGTGGTGTGGCCGAAAAAAAACTATACTTCATATTTGGAAATTAAACAAAAAAAATATTAAAGCTACCTTAATAACAAGGAGAGATATTGTGATTATTGTCTTCCTCTTAAATATTTCATTATGAGAATTTGTAAATGCACATGAAATACCATTGATGAACCCTGATTTACTCATTGCTCAGATCTGACAATCACTGATATCTGCCCATATTTACTTCAGCTGTTTTTTTCTGTTCTGAAGTATTTTCAAGCAGGCCCTAGACTTCAGGCCATTTCATCCCCAGATACTTCATAAGAGTCTCAACTACTTGAGGACATTTTCTTAGATGAGTCCAATCCTAAAATCACACCAGCGAGATTAACAATCATCACTTTAACATCATCCACTATGCAGATCACATGTGATTTTCCTTGATTGTCCCCATCTGTCTTTTACACGTGACATGTGTCTTTTACAACCATTTATAAAAATGAGAGAGGCATGAGGGGGGCTTCTGGGAGGCTGATATTCTTTTTCTTTTTTTTGGCCACACAGCTTGTGGGATCTTAGTTCCCTGGCCCAGGATCGAACCTGGGCCCTCGGTATTGAAAGCGCAGGGTCTTAACCACTGGACTGCCAGCGAATTCTCCTGATATCTTTTTCTTGACTTCGATATAGGAACTTTTCTGTATGTTATGTTTATATCTCGATAAAAATATCTATTAAAGAATAGAACAAAAGATAGTATGAAAACATCAAGCAAAGGCAAAAACCTTCCATAGCTTCATGGCATCCAAAAGGCAGAATTCTAAAGATGATGCCCAAGAGTTCCAACACCTGGGGATTCAATCAAACACTAATTTGGATGTAGATGTGAAGGGACTGTAGATGTAATTAAGGTTATGAGCCTCAAAATAGGCAGAGTATCCTGAATTAGGCAGGTGAGCTCAATATTACTGCTTGAGTCTTTAAAAGTAGAGAAATTTCTCCAGCTGGAATCAGAGATGCAGCAGAAGAGAAAGCGCGAGGTGAGGTCGAAGGAGCGCTTCAGTGCTTGAGAAGGACGCGACCTGCTGTTACTGGCTTCACAGACAAGGAATGAAGGAAGCCTGCAGGAGCTGAAAACCACTGGTCAACAGCCAGCAAGGAAACGGACACGAGTTCTACACCCCGTGCAGCTGGATTCTGCCAACCGTCTGGGTGAGCTTGATGCTTCCCCAGAAAGTGGAGCAGCCCTGCCTGTACCGTCATTTCTGCCACGTGAGACTCCGCGCAGAGAAGTCAGCCAGAGCTGCTGAACTGCTGACCTCCAGAACTGTGAGATACTCACTGTGCTGAAGCGCTAAGTTTGTGCTAACTTGTGGCAGCAGCTGCAGAAAACAAACTGTTGCGGAGTCTAAGCTCCTCCTGCTTGCCACATGGCAGGCCAAGAAGAGACAGTGTGTTGGGGCGAGTAATATCGACTTTATTCGGAAAGCCAGCAGACGGAGAAGATGGTGGACTAAACTCTTTTTTGCGGTACGCTGGCCTCTCACTGTTGCGGCCTCTCCCGTTGCGGAGCACAGGCTCCAGACGCGCAGGCCCAGCCGCCATGGCTCACGGGCCCAGCCGCTCCGCGGCATGTGGGAGCTTCCCGGATCGGGGCACGAACCCGTGTACCCTGCATCGGCAGGCGGACTCCCAACCACTGCGCCACCAGGGAAGCCCTGGACTAAACTCTTAGAGAACCATCTTAACTTGGAAGAGAATTCAGGCTGCTTTTATGCTAAGGGAAAAGGGGAAGTCGGAGGGTTCAGGATTAAAGGTGGGCTGCAGACTTCCTGGAGCCACCTGGCCTTCAAGGGAAGCATAACATTTCTCTGTTCTGCTTGCTCACAAGGCTGCATCACGAGGCTGCTGCAAAACTTCGAGTCGTGAGCAGTTATTTTTACTTTACCGCACTTATCTCTGCTTATTTGCTAGCTGAAAACGAACTTATCTACAAGTAGTAGCCATAACTAACCCAGGACCACCTGGGATGGGAACTTGCTTCAGGGAACTTAATGAGCTGTTCGGGCACAAGCCACGTTTCTCTAATATTTAACTCTTTATGGTCAGGGCTACAGTACATAAGCTGTAGAATGAGGGAGACAGTTTCAACGCAGTGTTAGTTCTGTTCTGCCTCTTACAAAACTTCTTCCTGGCCTGAGGGGTCCTCCCCCATCTAGTTCCATCCTGTTTTTTCTTGCAAATGCATTTCCCACCGTACAGCCTCCGCTGAAGGGCACCCCCTAGTATCCCCTTGAAACGTGTCCCCACTTTCCACTCCCCTCCCCTCCCTACACTGTGCCTTCCACCTGAGAAGCTCTCCCCACTTCTCCCCACCTCTCACGGTGCTACCCCTCCTTCAGGCCTGGTGACAGCCTTTCCTAATGTCCATCTTTTCTTGCTTCCAGGCTGGGCATCTCTTTCGCCTACGACGGGGTCATGCTGGCCAGTGCAGAGCTGCCGGAGCGGGACCTGGCCTGTGGCTCGCGGTCGGAGTCTGAGGCGGTGGTGACCGTAGGGGTCTCGGAGGAGAGCCAGAGCCCCTGCCGCTGCCAGGTGTTTCCGACTACCAGACCATGATTATCAGCACTATTGGCGAAACTGCTTGTAAGTATCTCTCTATTGGGTGGCTTTCTGTTTTGGGTGGGGGACGTGCAACTCAGAGTCTCAGAGGAGAGAAGAGTGACCTGTCATCCACTTGACTGCTGCCTGGTAGAAATGGACGAGTCCCTAAATCATGCTGAGGTGTCTGCAGTGCGGATCCGTGTGGGGAGAAGTCTGGAGGAGTGGAGCTTTGAATTAGCGCATGTATCAGTTCTAACGTGCATTCCCCTACATCGTAACGTCTCTGAAACTGGGATGTGTCTCACAATGGCATGTTAGATTTCAGTTGGAAGCACTGTTTCTGCTTTAATAGACATAAAGTAATGGTACTTAAAAATCAATGGCACCTTGAATTTGAAAAAGAGTATAAAACATTTAAAATATAGGTCTAGCAAGTTGGCGGTTTACAATAGACCTGCGTGCTGTAATAAGCATCCTGGGTGTAAAATGTCCTCCATATACTCCAGTGCTTGTCGTTCTCGGATCCCCGTGGGAAAAGCATATTGAAGGAGTCATGAAGTCGATGACAGTGTGACTGGGTCTTGGCTGGAATACGCATGACGTTTGGATTAAGTTGCTTCTTTCCGAAATGAGAGGGAGGAATCCAGGCCATTGTTAATACATGCCATTTGCTTTCAAGGTTCTGAAAATTGCCTTTGTCATTTTTTTCCTAGTGAATCCTTTAACTATCCTGGGCATTAATTTCCTGGGAAGACGGCTGAGCCTTTCTATTACCGTGGGATGCACAGCTTTGTTCGTCCTTCTCCTCAATATTTGCACTTCAAGGTATTTGCTTTCTGTTTGCTTTAAAGCAATCTAGTTTTGTGCAGTGGTTTTAAAATGAGGTCTCCTGACCCATGGCCTTCAGTGGAGGTTAGGGGCAAGTCCCTTTCACCAAGAGAGTAGAGTACAGGCTGCTTGTTTGACTAGAACGATCAAACAAGCCCCTGGTACCTGCCCCTCTCCTCTTCCTCCTGAGCAGGTCCATCTTCAGCGCTCACAGGACATGGGTACCAGCGCGGGAGTATTCAGTTCACTTGCCGAGATATTTAGGATCTTTATGCAAAGCTTCCTGGAGAATGGAGGCCGACCTGCACCGTTGTCAAGATAGGGATGTAGACAGCATACCTGTGGTGGGAAAATTCATTGCACTCTGAGTTTGTGACCCTACAGTGGGCCTCATTTATAATATATATGGCTTATTCTGCAAACTGTCTGTACCATTTTCCAAGGGTGGTGGCAGAGGTGTGCTCATCTTGGGGGGCTGGGCTGGAATGGCACACTCTCGGGGGACAGGATTGAAGGATTGAGTCCGGCTTTTGCTTTCGGACCCCACAGTCAGGCCAGCTGAGGAGCAGCCCCTCCCTCGGGACCTGGTCTTCAGGGATGTGTGTTGGCGTCTGTAATGTCCTGGGATCGGGGCCCCGGAAGGCCCTCCGTGTCGCCTGTGGTAACGTCTCGCTCTGGTTCCCTAGTGCCGGCCTCATCGGCTTCCTCTTCATGCTGAGGGCTTTGGTGGCGTCCAACTTCAACAGCATCTATATTTACACCGCTGAGGTTAGTTTTGGGGAAGGGGTTGGTTCCATCGAGGTGTGCGAGGTGAGCTACTTGGAGCAGGTGTTTGTCTATAGATCACGCATCCCTGGCTTCTGTTGACTTTTGATGATTTTCTAAAAACATCCTATTAAAATGACACCAGAAGATATGATGTGGCCTTTCTCCTGCCCCATGGGGTCTAGTGAAAGCCAGTCTCTGAGAAGAAAGATAGGACCTTCTCCCTTTCTCACTAAACTGCATCCATGTAAAAAACAACTCTTGCCCTCATCCCATGCTTCCCGAAGAAATAGGGGTAGGGCCCGGTACCTGCATGTTGCTGATAAAATGTAAAACACCCTATTTCTCCCTTTTAAAATTAGAAAGTATTTTTCACCTTTATTTTTTTGAAAGATCACATCCCACTCTGTTGTTTGTTGTAGGTAGCTTAAATTCGAATATAATAGTAATTTATTCTTAATTTATTGAATTACTATATCTACTTAATACATTACTTCTGAGGAGCTTCTCAGAAACCACCACTTTAAAGAGCAAATATTCCTAGAAATAAGCAATATCTGAGTAGGAAACTTAGTATTTTAACTGGTTTTGCCTTTCGTTGAGCCAGAGAAAGTGGTGCTATAGGGACTGCTATAGCTGCATTCATCTTCATTTTGGGAAACGTAGAAGTCTGTTTAGAATACAGATGACATATCAAAACCACAGAGAAAAAGATTCTTTTCCCCTCACATAGATAAAAACAGGAAATTGTGACACATTTGACATATATGGAGTATTTCATTTAGTTCCATTAACAATCTTCTAAAATTATTGTGAATTTGTGAACTTAAAAGTCTATGTGTATCGTGGTGTGCCTCTAAAATTATATTTGAAATATCCAATTTAACATATTTTGGGATGTGTTCATTTAAAGGGTCATTCCTAAGTATTTTTTCCCTGATACTTATTGCTTAAAAAAAAAAAAGATGTGTACCTGAAGTTGCTTGTCTTCTGTTATTTCATCTCCTAGAATTGTCAAAAATGAACAAAAAAAATTGATATTCGAGCAAAGATCATCTGTATGTATCTGAATCCATTGTTTTCAATAGCCACTAGCCTCATTTTCTAGAAAAAGAAAAAGTCTCTGTGAAAAGGCACTCCACCCCCAGACATTCTTATAAATATAGCAGTGCCCCCCAGGGCAGGAAAGCGTCTTGTTTTTTGCATTTGACAGATGGTGGCTAACACGATGTGGCCAAGTAAAGAGGCCACGTGCTTTGCTTCAGTGAATTGATGAAAACTGATCAGTATTTATAGCGTTAAGAGAAAAATTTCTAAAATTAAAAAGAAGCATTCTTTCATATATTCTCCCTAAAAGCTTCTTTATTAAGTACTATTTGCTTATTTATTAAGAACTCTGAATCAGTGAAGTACAGATTAATGAGGTTTTACTATAAATGCAAGAAAGTAGACTGTGCCGTAAGATCTTACAACACAAACATGGTGAATGGTGTAGCGTGTACGTGGCACTCTCGTCAGTTCCTTTCACTGTATCTGTATTAAAGGTTTGGTTGGATTGTTATTACTTGGGGAGTATTTTCTGTCCATTCAGTAGAACCACCTTTATAGGTTTAGAGCTCTAAAGTGGAAATCTTCTGTCTGACTGCAAGTACCTTTCTAAAATTACGTTTGGAATATTAAACACCTATTTTGGAATTTGCTCACTTAAAGGATAATGTCTAAGTGTTTATTTTCTGATATTGTTAAAATTCAAACTTGTGTACCTGAGAAAATGAACATCTTCTATATCCTGTATATCCATATAGAATATTTGGCCTTTGATATATACTGAAGCCTGAGCTGTGGAGGGAAGGGCAGAGGACTTGGGAGAGAGGGGTTTCAGCTAACTGATGCTTTCTACGCTTCTCCACTCCAGGTCTACCCCACCACGATGCGCGCCTTGGGGATGGGGACCGGCGGCTCCCGTGTCGCATTGGTGCAGTGGTGACGCCATTTATGTCCCAGGTACAGCCCAGGGGTCTCTGTAGGGAGGATACGTCTAAGGGAGGTGGGGAAAGAGGGACCTGGCTCCCTTCAGGTTAAGGGTTTAACCAAGGATTTGTTTACTTGAGTTTCCTTGAGGTGTTGTTTTCCCATTGTCTGGTTAATTTGGCTGAGAAAAGAGGCTAAATTGATGCTTCCAGTCTTCCAGTCAATAGCATGTATTGCATTGCATGCAGGGTTTAGATTTTGCTGGACATTGTTGGGGGGAGGATGCAAAAGACATGGATGACACAAGGAGCTGGGGCAGCTGAACGACAGTGAGCTCCAACCCTGACACTGTCAAGGGTGCAATCGAAAAACAGCCCAGAAGTGCAGGGAGGCTGCACCAGGGTGCAAGGATGTGGCCCTGGGCAGCTTAAGTCCAGCATTTGGACGAACCAGGCACAGGCTGGGAGAAAATCCAGGGGTGATCTGGACCGTTGGATGGGCCCTGTTTCAGGAGAGAAACAGAGGTGGATATGGTGCCCCACATGGTCATGGTTCCTCAGAGGACCAAACAGCTTGCCCCTCTGCCCTGATCTTTCTCTTTTGGCCACGAGAAATGGAAATCCCCCTGCGCTGGCTGCAGCCAAAGACATGAGTGAGGCTGGGCCCTGGGTGGGCCTGATCCAGGCAGCGAGGGCTGTCAGGGACCCAGGCTCTGTCCTCCTCACATCTATCTGGGGCCCAGGGTCACTGAGCATTCAGGCAGTACTCCCTCAAGACCAGTGTGCTATGCTTGTCCGCGGACATGGCCGTCCCGCAAATCCCAAACATCTATCCTTAGTTCCAGGCACCAGAAGACACCAAAGTACTCTCTGCATCCCAGAAGGATGCTCTCTCTGGCATCTCACTGGTCAGGCCTGGTCAGTTGTTCATAGTTGAGCTAAATCAGTTGTGGCCAAGAGTCAGGCTTATGGACGAATGCAACCTGGGAGGGGCAGTCTTCAGAGAAAGGGGGTTGACATGGGCTAAACAGACTGTAACGTGTATTTCTTATAATTTAATGGGATTTTGCTACCACCCTTATTAAAACTGTTTTGGGAATATTTTGCCTACTTAATTAAAAATGAAGGCAGTTTTGGTCTTGCAGTTGTGCTTTTCACAGTTCTTTTGCACTTATTATTTCAGCATATTCAGAAAAGAACATAATGCTGAAAGGCAGCAGTAAAATATTGATCCTATTTCTGGATGGTCAGACCGAGGTAGAGTTTATTCTCCAAGCTTTAATTAGGAATAGTCTCTTGGTTCTCAACCCCTTGGAACATTTTCTCTGGGTATTTGTGGGCATTTATCTTTGAGGCCACCCTGCTTTTGGTGACTTTGTGGACCAGGAACTATCTCAACTAGGACCAGGTCTCCTGGGGCACAGAGCTTTGTTCTGCTTAGCATCCTTCTCGGGGAGTTCTCAACTCTTCACAGTGACGTCACCCAACTTTCTATGCCCCCCTCATCTGTAAAATGAAGATAAACAATAACACCCACTGCGTAGGTTTCTTCTCAGTATTACGTGAGATTAATACATACAAAGCCCTGAGCCCAACATTTGACACGTAGGAAGCCCTCATGAGTGTTAGCTAATAACCATACGGTGACCAACAGCATCAAGGCCAAATGGTAAATATTCAAATAAGAGTATTTCTGTTACTGAGAAATATTTAAGCCCAGTTGAGTGATTTCAGTCACTATGCAATTGGAATGTTTTGCTTTCCTCACCAGGTTTAGGATGGGAAGTTAGAATCTGGGAAGCTTTGTGTTTGCTCGTAGAATATTTGCCTGGGTTTGGAGTGGGGCCGGCTGCTCCAGGTAGACAGGAGAGCTTGGTGACACTCTCGTGAGCTCATCAGTCAGTGTTCCCTTGGACGCGGTTCTCAAGCTTCAGTGCATATCAGAGTTACTAGGGTAACTTGATACCGTGAAGATTCCTGGACTTCACCCAGAGATTCTGATTCTGTATATGGGACCGTCACCCACAGTTTTAGCAGGAATCCAGAGTGAATCTGATGCTATTGGTCTGGGGACCAATGAGAGGTGTGGCCATCAGCAAGGAAATTGACTTTACTTTCACTTAATTCTTCTTCTTCTTCCTCTTCCTTCCCTTCCCACTCCCCTTCCCTTTCTCCTCCTTTCTTTTGTCCTTCATTTAGGAACTTATTTTGGTGACTCATTCGACAAGTTGTTTTCAGGGTAATTCTCTACAAGCTGCCTCTTTCACAGTTTGGCAGTTAGAATGCCAGAAAGGACTCCATAAGCTACAATCTATATTTGATAGAGTAGAAGCAAGAATTTATAAGGGAATTCCTCACTTCCACTGCAGGGGCCGGGGGTTTGATCCCTGCATGCCGCGAGGCACGGCCAAAAAAAAAAGAATTTATCCCAGTTCAACATTCAGCCAGCATTTATTGCATGCTTACTCTGTGCCTGACATTGTTCTCTTTATTTATAGCAGTAAATAAGCCAGACCAGGGTCCAGTGGTGTGCTGCAACTGGCCTGCACTGGCTTGTGAAAACTGATTGTTAAATTTTCAGGAAATCACTTTGCAAGCTAGTTGATGTCACGTTGTAGCTTGAAATTAGCACGGTGGTGGTTTTTATCCCATGGCCACAGGCAAATGCTACCATCAGGACTGTTTCTGGAAAGCCTGTTAAACATTTTGCAGCACACCACCACAAGATTCCTGCTCTCAAGAGGCTTACTTTCAAGTTGGGTGCTTTACAAATATGCACAAAATTAAGATGATTCAAATTAATTATTTGCGTATCTTAATTATTTGCATATCTGTAAAGCACTCAACTTGAAAGTATGTTGGGAGGCAACGATAATGAGTGAAAGGGATGACAGGCCTCCCCCCCACTTTTGGCTCAAAATTCCTTTACTGAAAGATAAATTGAATTAAAATCCATACATTCCATGAGGGACAGGCCTTTTTAAAAGACAAGGCTTCACATAGCCAATATTTTAGAGTAACTATAAATGGAGAGTAGCCTTTAAAAATTGTGAATCACTGTATTGTACACCTGTCTGTAACTTATGTAATAAAGTACATCAACTGTACTTCAATTTAAAAAAATTATAAAAAGAGGCAAGGCCTCTCTGGGTAGGTGACTTCGGAGTTGAGACCTGAAGTATAAGAAGCTGACAACTTGTAAAGGGTAACAGCATTTCAGGTGGGATGACATCTGGTGCAAAGTCCTGGGGATGGGAAGAGCTTGGTGTGTTCTCGGAATAGAAGATAGCTGTGATGAGAAAAGTGCAGAGAAGTACAGGGAGAGAGTGTGCCTTGCAGGCATACTTTGGATTTTTTTTTCTTAGGAGGAGTGGGAAGTAATTGAAGGGTTTTAAGCAGTGTCATGATCAGTTTTGCAATTTGCAAAGAGCACTGTGGTTGCTGAAGAGTGAACTGGCAGGGGATTGGGAGAGGGCAAGGGGGGAACAAGCTTATCATAAGACTCTAATTTCACATCGCCATGTGCTCAAATGAAAAGGGAGATTTCAGAATTCTGGAAAACCATTTCTCTTATAGAGGGAAATACTACATAAAAAATTTTAATTTCTGCCCAGGAAAAAAAAAATACTAGACAAGGATGAAAGACAAACCTTTACTTTTCAAGGGTTTCAAAAAACCCTAATTGAATTGTCACAGCTGAACAATGATTTTGTTGTCCTGTTGAATGCCTGACCTTCCTCAGAAGCATGGAAACAATGAATCAATGCATAAGATGATACACAGAACTTCACCAGTTAATGGGAATAAAAAATCTATCCATTTCATAGTTTCATTAGTGATTTCTAGTAAGCAGTAAACTTACTGAGAAACTATGTTGTCCAAGATAAAGTCAGACACTAGTTAAAGTGGTAGGGACAGATTTTGATTAGTAATTACTGCAGTAGGGAAAAAGAGTCCAGTGTGAACTGAATTCAACTTTGATTTGTACAGAGGTGACTGGGCTTTTTAAAGGGAGAAGAGGGAATAGGACAAGGAAGGTCTCAATAGAGAAAGGGAAGTGAAAATCGGCAAAAAGTGGTAAGAGGGGTTGGTCCACGTGAAACCCAGACAGGAGCCCTATCTCCAGGTATCGATCGGAACAAACAGTAAATTTTTTGGAAGCCTTGAGTATGTTCAGGTAGGCACTTTTAAGAGAGCTAGGGTCATCTGAGGGGTGTGGCTTTGAGCTGTTAGAAACTGTTAGTCTTTGTTCAAATCTTTATATACCAAGATTGAGGCTTAGGTGAGAAGCAGCTTCGAAAAGCCTGGCTAGGGTTTGGTCAAGGAGAAAGTTTTTCTCAATGTCAAGTGTGGTTCATAAATACATTTGTGTTTATTGTATTTTCAGCGATTTAAGAGATTTCCAAAGGCAATTTTGACCACGTGATTTTTTCTTCTTCCACACTGAAAACACAAAAATTAAAAACTTAGAAATAAAATTCTACTATCCTAATATTTTACTGGAGATAACAAATATAAATATTTTAATGAAGCCCTTGCAATATATCTAAGCATCTGTGCGTATAAATATGCATATACATTTTACTCAAATATGATCATAGTTATATACTTTTTATTTTTTTAATAGATTTAAAATACTTTATTGGAATTCAATTGTTAGCATGATATTTATGGTAACATTATTCATAGGGTGATTCTTTCCACTTTAATGAGATCTATTTTTATTTTTATTTTTAAATTTTACTGAACATTTAAATTTTACTGAACAGACTGAACATTTACTGAAATTATACTGAAGTATAGTTGATTTCCAATGTTGTGTTAGTTTCAGGTGTACATACAGCAAAGTGATTCAGTTATACATATACTCATTCTTTTCCAGATTCTTTTCCCATATAGGTTGTTATAGAATCCTGAGTAGATTTCCCTGTGCTATACAGTAGGTCCTTATTGGTTATCTATTTTATATATGGTAGTGTGTTTATGTTAATCCCAAGCTCCTAATTTATCCCTTCCCCGTTTCCCCTTTGGTAA